ATCAAGACAAACGAACCGATAACTCTTCTCGTCGATGACCGCCTCGCTCCGCTTCGACGGCGCGCTCAACGTCGACCTGACCGAGTTCCAGACGAACCTGGTGCCGTACCCGCGGATCCACCTGGCCATCGCCTCCTTCGCGCCCATCATCTCGGCCGAGAAGGCGTACCACGAGCAGCTCTCCGTCTCCGAGATCACCAACGCCGTGTTCGAGCCCGCCTCGATGCTCATCAAGGTCGACCCACGCCACGGCAAGTACATGGCGTGTTGCCTCATGTACCGTGGCGACGTGGTGCCCAAGGACGTCAACTCGGCGATCGCCACCATCAAGACGAAGCGGACGATCCAGTTCGTGGACTGGTGCCCGACCGGCTTCAAGTGTGGCATCAACTACCAGCCTCCCACGGTCGTGCCGGGCGGCGACCTCGCCAAGGTGATGCGCGCCGTCACGATGATGTCTAACTCGACGTGCATCGCCGAGCTCTACTCCCGCATCGACCACAAGTTCGACCTGATGTACGCCAAGCGCGCCTTCGTGCACTGGTACGTCGGCGAGGGCATGGAGGAGGGCGAGTTCTCCGAGGCGCGCGAGGACATGGCCGCCCTCGAGAAGGACTACGAGGAGGTCGGCGCAGAGTCGGCCGAGGGCGAGGGCGAGGAGGAGGGGGAGGAGTACTAGGCGCGCACACGGGTGCGTCATGGCCGGGTCTGCACTGCTCGGCGAGTACGCGTATGTCGGAAAGATTGTCAGTCTGCGTGTGGGGGGAAGCTTTTGATGTGTGCGCGCAGCTTTTGATGTGTGCGCGCGCCGAATTCTTTTCGCGGTTACCGGTTTCAGAGTCGTTTCGTCTATCACGCGCGCGGCGTGGTGCCGGGCCGCGGGCGACGGCGAGTGGTCACGAGATCCCCGCGCGCCGCGCCCCGGGCACCCGGGAGAGGAGCGGGCGACCGGTCCGCGAGCGTGACTCGACACGTGCGCGACGTGCGTCCGGACAGAGCTCAGAGGCAGCTAGACAGGTTCGACCAGGGGGGCAGAGTGAAATAGAACGAATTCTCGCCCGGTTCTCACTAAACTAATCGTTTTACCTTACCGTCCGCCGCGCTGCATGCCGGCCTGCCGCAGCGGCGCTCATGGCAAAGG